GGACAAGATCTTTCCTAGGAGACAAGGTCCTGGGCAAACTTACAAGGTCATCTGGATTGAGGAAGAAAGACCTGCCCAAAGGGAGTGACATCAACTCTAGCTGGCATCCGCCACTATACAAGTAGAAATGATCTGAGCTTCAGGGAAGCATTTGCCACTCTATTCTGAATGGTGTGGTGAATGCAGTGTGACCAGGTACTTCGGGCTTCTGCTTTCTTGATTCCTCTGACATTATCAATACTAACCTTGAACTCTTTCTACCTTAAGTTGCTCTCCTCTGGGTAGTTTATCACAGGAAAAGAAAACACACACACACACACACACACACACACACACTTAGCAGAAGAATGGTGAACAACAGTGGAGATGCACTATCACCTGATGAGTTCTCTTCATGCTTTATTGCAAATAACCACTCTATATCATTGCCCACATATGTTTCCCATTAAACTTTCCCCCAAGAACATGAGCTCACTGTAGATAGTCAAGACAATTATTCTTTTGTTTTTAGGAACTTACTGTTCTGGAACTCATTCTGTAAACCAGGCTAGCCTGAAACTCTTCCTGCCTCTGCCTCCAAGTTCTGGGATGAAAAGTATATACCACCACAACTTGGCTAAGACAATTATTTTCTTTTTTCATAATTTATTTTTATTTTATTTACATTGGTGTTTTTTAGGCATGTATGTCTGTGTGAGGGTGTCAGACTTGTAGTTACAAACAGTTGTTAGCTGCCATGTGGGAACTGGGAATTGAACCTGGGTCCTCTAGAAGAACAGTCAGTGCTCTTAAGTACTGAGCCATCTCTCCAGCCCCAAGAGACAATTATTCTTAACACATTCTTTCAAATTGAAAGTTACAAACTCAGCTCTGCTAAGCCAGTATAGTTAGAAATGCCTTATAAATCAATCAAACCACTCCAGAAAACTGTGTGGAGAATTAAAAATAAATCTATCATACAATTCAGCTATACCACCCTTTGGCTAACAGGCGTCACTATTCTACACCATAGATATTACTTAGCCATCTTCATTGCTACTCTGTTCACAGTAGCTAAGAAATGCAAACAGCCTAATTTCCAATCAGCTGATGAATGAATAATGAAAATTAGCACATGTGCACAACAGGAAACTAGTCAGATGTAAGGAGAAGCAACATCATGAAATTTACAGGTAAATGGGTGGAATTAGAACACACAACAATGAATGAAGTAACCAGACCCAGAAAGACAAACATTGAATGTTCTCTTTGTGGCTCTAGTTTTGAATATTCAGATGTAAATATCAAGTAACCACACATGCCAGGAAAATAAAAAGTAGTTCCGGGACAGAGGTAAGCCTTCAAGAGTGGGAACTGGCAAAACACAGCTAGTAAGAAGGGAGAGATGAGAAAATGGAGTCTTCTAACTGGGCAGGTAAAGGGGCAATAAAGGAGAGAGAGTAGAGAGGGATAAATAACTAAGAATGCACAAAAAGAACATAGGGGATAATTCTATACTTACCCAAAATTATCTATAATGCATATCTCACACACACACACACACACACACACACACACACACACACACACACACACCCCTTTAAAAGGTTACATGACTTGGGGCAATACTGTTCCTCCCAAGAGCCACATAGCATCGAACAAAAGCCTCAGTCACACACACACACACACACACACACACACACACCACATGCACATGCACGCATGCACGCACACACGCATACACACAAAACAAGTTAGTTAGGGCAGTACAGGAGAATCTCCAAACAAAACAAACTATTGTTGCCTTTTGTTGTTTCCCAGAACTTAAGGTAAGACCCACGACTGCTAAAGACATAACATTTTGGACACAAAACTTGGAGTGATAGAGATGGAACTGACCCAGAAGCCTCATCCTTGTGGTTCTGAGTATCAGAAGATGCAAGTTGCCAAGGAAGAGGGGCATTGGGTAGACCCACCCAACGTAAAGCTATCAATACCAACAATGACTAAACTGGTAACATATCCACAATGATGAAAGTGGCACTTGGGTGTTAACAACTGTCCAAATGAATTTGAGACCCATTCAACAGGAGGAAAATCCTGCCTAGTACTGTAAGTCAAAGGCTAGAGAACCTATGAGCACTTTTCTAGATTAGTTTAATTCCTAACAGTACTCTAAAGCTTATCCTTATGCCTGCAGATAAGTAGATCTGACCCCTCATTAAAGAAGCTTGTTTTTGCAGCACCAGGAATCTATTACAGAAAGCATAACTAGTCAAAGTTACAGTGGGATGCCAAGTCAGTCCAATTGGTACTCCCACACAACTCCTGAACCTAAAGTTCAGGGAACTTTACTGAAAAGGGGGAAGATGGTAAGAGCCAGAGGACCAGGGAGCCAGATGTGAACCTGAGCCTTCTAGATATGACAGAGAAGCCACAGCCATGAAGCAAGGTTGTCTAAAAGACCCTAACAATCCCAACAATCAACTTTCCAATATAGATGGGGGAACTCTCAAGAGACCCCACTCCTAGATAGCTACAATCAGCAACTACTAAAATAGAGAGAACTATTCTCCCCAAAGATGATGCCCCTAATTGTTTATCCCATACTAAATGGTTAGTCCTAGACACAAATCCATGCTGGCAACACTGAAGGGACTCTGCAGATTGTATTCATTTATTTACTCACTTATATGTACCTGTAATAACAGTGAAATAATAGGGAATTTTGGTGGCAGTAGAGGGGAATATTGAAGGAGTAGTGATGTAATTATATTTTAATAAAAGTAAAAGTTTGGAGAGGATTAGGGAAAAAATGAAGTATTCCCCATACCCCTTATACTCATTCAGCCTTCTTACAGATTCCTGATTGCCCTGTTCAAATGTTGTGTAAACTCTGAGCTGCATATGTAGGATTAATGAGAATTTCTCCAAACAAATGAGTATCACATTGGTATCATGTGACCCTAATGACTTTATGGGAAATGCCTTTATCCACTAAGCCAATTTCCCCCCAAAACATCTTACTTGAAGAAAATATATACATATGTTATGTATATAACATATATGTATACATATATAACATATATATCTATATGTTAAAAACTACAAAATCTATGTAAAAATTTTTACTATTAGAAAATTCAAGTGTACATATAAATGTAAGTGTTGGTATCCTGGCATTATGCTGATCCTGCCCCCTACCCACTCCCCACTCCCCCACCCCTGACAACAGGCAGGGCTCAAAACCAGCCTTCTGGCAGATACTTAAGAAAGTTCAAAGGGCCCTGTGTTACATAGCTACGTTGTGCTTACATTAAGTGGCTGCATGGACTCTACACAGAAACCAAGTGAGCTGTGGCCACTCGGAAATGAGCAGCTCCATAAGCTGGGCCAGCGGCAGCTTCATGACTCCAGTTTCAACCACCCCAACTGCTGAGCCTCATTCTAAACCGCTCCCTTTCCCAATAAACTCCACGTGGATTTGTTGAGTTGTGTGGTTCATGTTCATCATCTGAAGCTGCAGCACACAACAGTAAGGAAACTGCCAATGAAGATTTTTAAGAAAAACATAAGCTGTCATGTAAGGAGGGAACACTAACAATTGGATACACTAACAATTAACAAGCAGCCTATTTTTAATTTCAAATGAACCACATTATTCAAAAACTACATATAAATTAAGTCTACTGGACTCTTACAAATGTACTTGAATTTCATGAATCAAACACAGTTTCACGTGAAATGGAAAAAAGTATTACCTCACTTGATATTTGGGGAAAAAATTCATTAAAATAAAATTGATCATGACTTGGTGGCACACACCTTTAACATCATCTCTTGGGAGACAGAGGCAATCTCACTGAGGCAGAGGCCAGCCTGGTCTGTATAGTGAGACCTTATTTCAAAACAAAACTGATCTATCAAACTAAAAGACATCAATGCATATAGTTTATGCTGCTGCTAGTGTTGTTCTTCAACACAGTATTTTGATAGCCTCAGTTTTTCCAAGCAGGAGAGATGACAGGCACAAATTCCAAAAAAAAACTTTCAAAAGAATACACTTGCTCAGAGTGTTCAAATTTCTTACTTTAACAACATACAGAAGAAAATTCCTTTTCACCTTATTTGAAACAACATACACCTTTATTTTTAAGACTGAAGTTTTCATTCAGTTGGAAGGGGTTCTTAACTCTCCCAGGTTTTGTTCACTGTATTTAATGCTATAATTCTCTAGCCTCTACTTCCCTAGTGAATAAACGGCATGCACCAGGGCCAGCAAGATTGTTCACAGGTTAGGGTTGTTTCAAACTCAGACAACCTGAGTTCCTTCTCAGGACCTACATAGTGGAAAGAGCGGCACAGACTACTGAAAGCTGTCCACCTCCATGTATGCAGTCTGGCATGTGTACATCCATGTACATATACCTAAAAAAATGTAATGTTTATCAATTCTAATTTATGTAAAATGTGATTGCTCAAAAAAAGTATCTTAGCACTTTTGACAGGTTTTCATTCGACATCACATTCCAGATGTGTCCAAATTTACATTTTCATAACTCCTATTCCACCTCTTTCCAGCCTTTTTTAAATATTACACTTATGGGGCTGGAAAGAAGGTTCAGCAGCTCAGAGTATAGATAATGCTCTTCCAGAGGGCCCTAGCTGGATTTCTAGCACTCACCTTAGGAAGCTCACAGCCATCTGTAATTCCAGATCCAGGGGAACTACCTCCTCTGGCCTTTGCACACACCAACCCTCATGCACATATAAACACACCTATCCATAATTCAAAACTTTAAAAATACCATGAAAATTTATTTAAAGCCAGGCTGTAGTGGCACACGCCTTTAATTCCCATACTTGGGAGGCAGAGAGGCAGGCAGATCTCCAAGTTCAAGGCCAGCCTGGTCTACAGAGCAAGTTTCAGGAGCCAGGGCTACATGAGAAACCCTGTCTCAAAACAAAACAAGACAACAACAAAAAAGGTATTTAAAAATATCTCACTTTTTTATACATGTGTAGGAGATTGTGAATGCAAATGATGGCATGTGTGCAAATCCAAAAACTTGGGGACTCAGGACTCCCTCTTCAAATGGATTCTGAGGATCCAACTCAGTCTATCAAGCTTGTTGATAAGCACTTTTACTTCTGAGTCATCTCACTGGCCCTCCAGACGATTTTCTTTCATACCCCACAATAACAAGTTGACCAAAGACAATTCCACATGATGTACAGAGTTCTACCCACTGGGTTTCTTTTCTATGTGAGCTCTTTCATGTTTGTGAAGGCAGGTGGAAACCCTAAATGCTTTCCCACAATAATTACATATATAAGGCTTTTCTCCAGTATGAATTCTTTCATGGTCACGAAGGGATGTGGAAATCCTAAATGCTTTCCCACATTCCTTACATACATATGGTTTCTCTCCAGTGTGAATTCTTTCATGATTATAACAAGCATCACGTTGGATGAAGGCTTTCCCACAATGCTTACAAACATAGGGTTTCTCTCCAGTGTGAATTCTTTCATGGTTGTTAAGATGACTGGCACGAAGAAATGCTTTTCCACAGTGCTTGCAAACATAGGGTTTCTCTCCAGTGTGAATTCTCTCATGAATGTAACGAGCACTGGAATGGGTGAAGGCTTTTCCACAATGCTTACATAGGTAAGGTTTCTCACCAGTGTGAATTCTTTCATGCCTCCGGAAGGATGTAGAACATGAAAATGCTTTCCCACACTGTGCGCAAACATAGGGTTTCTCTCTAGTGTGAATCCTTTCATGACTGTACCAGCCGCTATAATGGGTGAAAGATTTTCCACAATGCTCACAAGTATAAGGTTTTTCTCCACTGTGAATTCTTTCATGGATGAGAAGGTCATAGGAACGGATGAAGGCTTTTCCACATTGCTTACACACATATGGCCGCTCCCCACTATGAATCCTTTCATGGTTCTGGAGGGATGAGGAATACCTGAAGGCTTTCCCACACTGCTTACATGTGTAACATTTCTCTTCAGGGTGAATTATTTCATGTTTGATAAGATGACTGGAATTAACCAAGGCTTCGTTATACTGCTTACACAGAAACTGCTTTTCTCCAATGGTTATCCTCTTATAGATTTGACCATAACTGTACCTCCAGAAGGCTTTCTCAACTTGCTTCCATTCATGGAGTTTATCTCCAGTGGGAATTCTCTCACAACACTGATCAGAATTGAGACTCCTACAGACTTCATTAGAAGATTCCTTATTTTGATAGGCTGTCTCTCTAGGACTTCTATTTGTCTGAGAGGACTCAGAGTAAGTCAAATCTTTCCAACATTTCTCATGTGTAAAAGCTTTCTCCACTTCTTCATGAGACCCATATGGCTTATCTGTAATTTCACATCTGAGGTGCACTTGTGAGAGTAAATGAGCAATGATGTCTCTTGCAAGCACACTGTTTTCAGATATTTCTATTGCAGGAGCCATGTCTCTTTGAAGAATATGCTCTGAAATCTGTGGCTCAATTTCTCCACACTGACGACCATCTCCATAGACACAGTTTCTTTCAACCACCTGAGTTCTGCAAAAAAAGGAGAAAAGCAAAACTACACTTTTATAATTCGCCAAGAGAAGTGCTAGATGTTGTGCCACTGTTATTACAGTATTCTGGAAGCAGTAGAAGGAAGACAGTAAGTATAAAGTCCATAGGGCCATATACAAACCCCTGGTAGAGGGGAATGACACTGCTGACTTTGTTTCTGTAAGAAGTTATAAATACAAATGGACTGAACACTCAGCTGAGGTCCTGAAGATAGCATACAAACATAAAGTTCTTAACTACTACTGCTTGGGTCTGGAGAGATGGCTCAGAGGTTAAGAGCACTAACTGCTCTTGCAGAGGTCCTGAGTTCAATTCCCAGCAACCACATGGTAACTCACAACCATCTGTAATGAGATCTGGTGCCCTCTTCTGGCCTGCAGGGATACATGCAAACAGAACACTGAATAAAAAATGTCTTTAAAAAAAAAAAAAAAAAAAAACCACTGCAGTTCATACTGTATGAACCACAGTTAACAAAGATGAATATTCTTAATGAAAAATAGTGTGCATTGAAATAGCTAAACATTCTTTATGTGATGCATTGTTAATAGGTTTCGATCTAAACCTGCAACTCACTTTACTTCTGTAGGAAGGGCAATTTGGGGGCAATGAAACACAGAAACAAATCTCACAAAGGTTAGTGTTGGATGTTTTGGCAATACTCATATACTACAGAATTGGCACCCTCAAATTCTGAATGTTCCAACTCAATGCACTTGTAAAGAAAATTTGAGGGCCAGGTGGTGGCACATACCTTTAAGCCCAGCACCAGGGAGGCAGAGGCAGGTGGATCTCTGTGAGTTCCAGGACAGGCTCCAAAGCTACACAGAAAAACCCTGTCTTGAAAAACCAAAAAAAGAAAAAGAAAAATGAAAAAAAAATTGAGATTAAAGATTAAATCAATTGTACCATGATGTGCTGAGTCATCTGCTTGTTTCTCAGATTTCCTACCACTTGTAAATACTTGATATGACTTCCTCTTTCTTTGAGTGTATATTACCTCACATTTTTCCTGAGATTTTGGTAGTTGTCTTCAATATTTTCCTTTCCCTTTGTTTTACCTAAAAAGTAAACCAAAAGAAATCATTATGACCTAATTCAATATCATACAAAAACTTACTAAATTCTATGCTTTGTTATTGTGCAATATGACTAGGAATGCTACATTTACCATCAAGCTCCTTTCCAATATTTCAATTCATGTATTCACACAGATGAATGAGAAATTGATGTTCTCTAATTAAAGTATAGAAATCACACTGTATTTTTTACCTATGGAGATCAGGTTCATAAAGGTTTCTGTCATCACATCTCTGTAGAGCTTCTTTTGACTGGAATCCAACAAAGCCCACTCTCCTAGGGAGAAGTTCACAGCCACATCCTCAAAGGTCACGGGCTCCTGAAATAATCCACATGAAAAAATGTCAAAAATGAGCTGACAACCTGACAGGATCCAGAGTTATGAAAGATGTTGGGAGCACCTGTAAGTACACTGAAGGCAGAGGTTAACTGGCCATTCTGACAGAAGCTTGAAACATGAGAATGCTGAAAGAAATGGGAACTGTCAAGGGTTTCAAAGGGAAACAAGGACACACAGAAACCAGGATAAAAGCTATTTGGGTTTTAACCAAAATTTGGCTTCATTCTGCCCAGAGCCGGATGACCCAAAAGAAGTTGAATTTAAAGAAAGTGAAATAATTTTACATAGAAAATAAGTATAAACAAGCTTAAAATTTTGGACAAGGAGAGTATAGATGACAAATCAGCCATGATTGTTAAAGAGATGAGCACTGAGCACTGGGACAATAAATAGTGAGGCATGCAATTAGCACAGTGACTGTATTAGCAAAATGGGACTCCATTGACTTGGACTATGCAAACATCACTCTAGGAACAATGCACCTCAACCCCTATGTTCACCCGGGGGATACTTGTATACCTACTATGTACAATGAAAACACTCCCCTTACTACCATGCTTCTACTCACATAGATTCTGTAATGCTTCAGGCACTTATGGGCAACTGTAGGTGGTTGTTTTTACTCTTTGCTCTTTACTCTTAGCACTTTGGGGGCCTGCCACCCAACTCCCAAATAAATACACAAACACTTACTTACGAATGCCTGGCCTTAGCTTGGCTTATTTCTAGCCAGCTTTTCTTAATTATCCCATCTACCTTTTGCCTCTGGGCTTTTACCTTTCTCTACTTCTGTTTATCTTCCCCCACCTCCCTTCTTATTTCCTGTTTGTGTGGCAGGGTTTCTGGCCCCTGGCATCCCCATCTACTCCTTTTCTCACTCCTCCCTCTTCTTCTTTTCTCCTATTTATTCTCTCTGCCTGCCAGTGCCACCTACCCTTTCTCCTGCTTTATAGAGTTAAACAAATGCAACATAAAAGAATGCAACACATCTTTGCATCATTAAACAAATAATCCAAAGCATAAATGAATGCAACACATCATCAACTAATATTCCACAATAGGCAATAGAATGATCTGCCCTGAATTAATTTTGGGTGTGTGCACAAAAAAAGGCAAATTACGTTCAAAATGAATCTCTGCGGAGACTTCTCTATTTATTATTTTATGCATATCATAATTAGGATTCCATAGGATTAAAATCAGGTATATTTGGGGAAGGAACAACTGCAGTAAGCAAAGGCTTACAAAATAGAAGCCTATCAAAACAACTCTCTGTATATGATACACAACTTAGCAACTAAACTTCTTGTCAACTGCACATTAAAAGGAAGCCTTAAACAATAATCTGGGCCCTTAAGTATCTCCACTCATGTAGCCAATTATCACCATTCAGAGTTTATTTCTGATCTGTACTATTGCATTACTAGCCCTGGCTACTTTTGCAAATCTATGAGGATCATTATTTCAACAGTCATGACTCTGGGGTTGAGCAACCCTTTCACAGGGGTCACCTAGAACCATCAGAAAACACAGATACTTACGTTACAATTTATAACTAGCAATTACAAAGTAGCAACAAAAATAACTTTATGGTTTGGGGAACACCACAAACCCCGCTACTTTCTAACCAGTTTTTCATACTGATGTCTATGGCTACAATGATTGATGGAACTAATCCACTTGGTTAAAAGGCCTCTTCAAGGGCTGAAGAGGTAGCTCAACAATCAAAAAACCATAACCGAATTCCTGCTCCTTGCCTTAGGATAGTTTCTACTCTGTGGAGCTGCAGAACCTAAGTCTACAGTCATGCAGAATGTATAGACTTTTTTTCTCTCCTCTTTCCATTTTTTCCCTATGATTGTGTATTTCTTTATTTGAAGTGATTCTGCTATATTTTGCTATCCCAAAATTAAAACATGGGTCCTCTGGATTCACTGAAGTTATTTCTGCTCTATCCCTACAGCTGACTGAATTTTAAGAGTTTTTCTCAGGCTGGGGGTGATGATGCCGGCCTTTAATTCCAGCACTGGGGAGCCAGAGGCAGGCAATTTCTGTGAGGTGGAAGCCAGACTCTTCACAGTTCATAGTGAGTTGCAGGACAGCCAAAGTTAAATAGTGAGACTCTGTCTCAAAATAATAACCTTTCTAGTCTTGCTTTTCCTTAGTTTCACATCCATCTAAATGATATATCTATTCCTGAAATGCAAACATTAAGAACATTTGTATTCTTGTGCTGTGGTTTCACAGAGGCAAAACAAATGACTAAGAGTGAAAGAAAGGACACAAATCCAGTTGGAAAGGAGATCAGCAGCTGCCTCATCCAACGACTGGATGAGACTCAGAGCAAGCCAAAGGAATGTAATGCCTTAATCAACAAACCTTACAACAAGATAAATAGATAAATTTTCCTGCATCCTGATACTGTTTCTGTTCTCTGGAACAAAGCCAAATTCTGCTGCTACTTTTAATACATTTTCCCCAGTCTTTTTTTTTTTTTTTTCATTTTCTCTTTTTCTTTTCCCATGTGTCCAGCATGCCATAACTTGAAGAGTTCTGATGCTCAAGTTGGAGACAATAAGGTCTTACACACACACACATACACACACACACACACACACACACACACACACACACACAATCTTTGTGGGAATATTTTTTGTGACAATTGCAAAGGATTATAGAGTTGACCAAATCAAATGTTGGGGAGGTGAAGAGGAAAAACTGCCCTGAGATCTGAAGAAAGCAGGCCACCACTCCTGGATATGCTAGTAAGTTTTATATCAACTTGACACAAGCTGGAGTCATCTGAGAGGAGGGAACCTTGATAAATTGTCTCTGTAAGATAGGGTGGTGCCATCTCTGGGCAGGTGGTCCTGTGTGCTATAAGGAAACAAGCTGAGCAAACCACAAGAGCAAGCCAGTAGGTAGGCAGCACCCCTTCCAGGCCTGTGTATTAGCTGTAGCCTCCAGGCTCTCAGTTTGAGTGCATTGGCCTTCAAGGGACTGTGATTCAAGACATGTAAACCAAATTAACCCTTTCCTCCCCAAGTTGCTTTTGGTCATGGTGTTTCATCACAGCAATAGAAGCCCTAACTAAGACATATGGCAAAACTGCTCTCCCAAGCTCCAGCATCCAGGAAGCAAGCTCCCGACTGAGGATTCTTTGACCTTCTACCTTCCCTTACCTACTCTCTTTTTACTTTTAAAATATCTGTTGTCTTTCTCAGTGTACAGCGTCTAAGAATCAAGAGCCATTAGGACATCTGACACTGGTCAGGGGTTCACATATGCTATCTTTTCTATATCATAAGATACTCTACCACTCAGTAAAACAAAGAGTTTATGTCAGTATCTAATTTCCTATTGAAACCTTGAGAAAACAAGCTTTCTTCTAGGACAGCATTTCACTGACTTACTAAATAAGTAGATAGCCTGCCAGGACCCTATTTTTAAGGTTACTTTTAATTGTGTGTTGATGTCTGTGTGTATGTGTGAATATGTGTATATGAATGCAGTGTCCAGGGACCAGAGAGGTCATCTGATCACCTGGAGCTAGAGTTATAGATAACTGTAGCTGGGAATAGAACTTGCATCCTCTCCAAGACAACCTCATAACCACTGTCTTAACCAATGAGTCATCTCTCTCTAGCCCCAACCCTATGTTTATAAGGATTATAACCCTACATACATACTATGGCTTCAACCTTTGCACCAACTCTGTCAGTCAGTAACCCAATACATGAGACAGTGCCTTTCACAAGATGTCTGTTGTAGGATTATGTATTCCATCCAAGAAGAGTTTAGCCAAAAGCCATTGCCTGCATGAGTAGTACTATACAGTCACAAAAGGACAGATTATGGAGGAACTCACAAAGAGATATGAAAACAAAACAAAAGAGATATGGCATCTCTTACAAGCACAACACCTGAAGATGCTCAGCATCCAAAGCAGAGATTCTAGATGGGGATCTACCAGAGTCTACATTCTGATATTCCCTCTTTTGAGGGAACTTTTCCATTTCAGAGGAAACTGTCGATGATTCTCCATTTCTTCCTTCCTGTTAAGGTTACCGTGGGCAACTCCTTGTGTGTAGTGACAAATTTCCTCCACCTGCCCAAAACCTCAGGTATATTAGTAATCACTAGCAATAATAGTTTGACCCAGACAAAAACATGTCACATTCATTGTAATACTGCCTAGACCCAGGACAAACAGGGACCCACAGAGAAATTATCCCAAAACAGAGCCTCAAATAAAATACTATTCTTTACCTAGATCTTATTTGTAGAAGACAAGAGAAACGGTGTGAGATTCCCAATATTCAAGCCTCCATGGTCCTCTAACAAGACTCCTTCATTTTCCAAGGAACCAGGGGAAGCCCAAAAGGGGAACCTCAAACTTGTCCTTGATACTGTGAATGATACATTCCTGAGTGGTCTGTGTCTCCAAGAAGAATCCCTTACCATCCTGCCCTTATGTTTCATCAACCCAAAAGCTACAATAACTGAGACCTACAATAATGCTTTGCTGTGACCTTCCCACCTGAAGCTGACAGAATCTCCAGGGAAACTGATATCTGATTCAGTTTACAACAATAAGGTTTTCTTAAATACTTGTCTGCACTTAGAAACAACCCCCCCACAAAAAAAAAAATGGGCTCAAAGAACAAGGATTTTATTCTTTATCTTTTTATTGAATGAGCCAAGACTTCATGATCAAATTTTGTTCAAATGCTCAGTGTATATGATTTATGCTTTTCCTCTCAAATAAAGCCTCACTTGCTGCTTAACTACTGCCAGGACAATAGGAAAAATTCTGTTACAAAGAAATATTCCCATACTTCTGCTATATCACAGATATTTGAATCTATTTGTAAAATTTGGCCAACTGCACAATACTTAATGTCTATGACCTTCAGTTATTTAGAATGATGATTAAATAGACAGCAGCACTAATTATAAAAATGAAGTAAAGCACTTGGTTTCCTTAGCCAAAGGCCCTCTCATTAGTGCAGAATCTAAGATGTACATCTTTCAGATAATATCCATGATCTCCTCAGAAACTAGATACTGGGGAGCCGAATGTAGCGATGCACACATTTAATCCCAATATTCAGGAGGCAAAAGCACTGGATCTCTGTGAGTTCAAGGCGAGCCTGCTATACATAATAAGTTCCTGGACAGCCAGAGCTACAGAGTGAGACCTTGTCTTGGAAAAAAAAAAGGAAAAAACCAAACCAAACAAACAAACAAAAAGAAAGAAAGAAAAGAAATACTGGGTACCTACAGACACGCGCGCGTGCGCGCGCGCGCACACACACACACACACACACACACACACACCAAACACAAAAACAGAAATGTGATGACACACTCCTTTAATATCAGAACCTGGGTGGGAGTCAGAGATGGCTAGATATGTAAGTCTAAGGCCAGCCTGGTCTACACAGTGAGTTCCAGGACAGCCAGAAGTACAAAGTGAGACCATGTCTCTGAGGAATAAAAGGAGGAGGAGGAAATGTTAATGACTATCATAAGGGTCTTTCATAATACACTATAATCAGGAATTCAGAATTTTTACACAGTATTTGCACAGTGAGATGCTGAGAAAAGAAAAACGGATTTCCTTAGTTGGGAAAACATATGGCAGCAACAATTCCTTCCAACCTGGAGAGAAAGGGTTCTACCAGGTACTTCAAACTACCTCCTGGGCTGTAACACTTCAGGATATAAACTCTCAGTTCACGCTTTGCATCTCAGCTTTCCGTCCATTTGAGACACAGTCTCATGGACTCCAGAAAGCTGGGTGACAATCATCTTCAACAATTAGACATTAGATACCCTAAGTAAACTTAAAACCCCCCCAACAACATTTCCAATTTGCATTCTTATTCCATTCTATCCTATTTACTCATGTATAGTATTTGTGTGTATGTCTGTGTGCCAGGGCATGCAGACGGGAGGTCTGAGAACAAGTTAAAGGAGCTGACACCAGCCTTCTTCCCCTGTGTTCTAGAGACTGTCCTCATGTTGTCAGGGCTAGTGGTGAGGGCCTTTACCTGCTGAGCCGTCCTGCTGCCTCTCACATTTTAATATTTCTCAAATAGTTTTTTAGTTTTTAATTTTTTGAGAATTTCATACACAAGTACTATATTTTTAGCATTTCCACCTCTACCAACTCTAACTCCTCCCATGCCCTGCTCAAATTCATGATCTCTTCTTCAGTTACATATATGTAACTTTAGTTACATGTGTGTATACATATACATACAAATACACACACACACACACATTTCCAACCTGCTGAGTCCATTCAGTGTTGCCGATATGCATTTAGAGATTTAGGGCTGACCACTTGATGTTGGATAGCCTAGGAGAGGGCTCATCCCTGAAAAAGATAGATTCTCCCTCTTTTAGTAGCCATGACTTGTCTGAAGCTCTTCATCTATGGTTGGGGCCTTGTGACATATCCCCTATCCATGTTGGCATGTCACCTGGTGCTGACAATTGTGTAGGTCTTGCTTAGGTGACCAGATGGCTGCAATTTCATGGGTGCAGACCCCTTATTGTATAGACACTATCTTGCTGCAGCCATGCTGGTCCTCTGGCTCTTCAAATCTTTCTGCCTCCTCTTTCATGATGCTCCCTGAACCTAGGGAATATGTAAATGTATCAACTGGGGTTGAGCACCCAACTGTCTGCTGCTTTCCTGCCTATCAGCCTCACCTACACTAGGTCCTGGGATGGGTTTTTCTAACACTGATAAGACACCATTTGGTCTCCCCATGAACAAAATGTGGTGCCCAGCCCACAAGAAGAATGATAGACTCAAATGTACAGGGGAAAAGTCAGTGTGTTAAAGTTGCCACAAGAAAACTGAAAGACTGTGTGAAGCAAAAACTTTACAAGCTGAGAGCCAATTTTATCTTGGGCCCTCTAACTTAGCCATGCCCACCTCCATGTGTGACTATTAGGTAAGTCTTTTCATGTCAGTAAATCTGAAATATAAAATATATACTGTTGACACTCTTCTCCTAGGTAGTGGCCCTCCACTCCCTGGTTCTCAGTTACTTCTGGACCTCATATTCTCAATACGCTTACATGGTTTGTTTCATCAAGAATCTAACAGGTCCACCTGCAGATGATCCTTCAACAATAGGTGTCACCAGGAAGAACCAAGGACACTCATGTGACCAGGGTCAGGGGAAACATCTATTTGACCCTGAACCAACAAAAAAAGAAGGTTCTTGGCACTCTCCAAGGAAATATAGTAACTTTAGATACAAAATAAGATGTACATCCCTATCTGTTCGGGTTTGTTTTCTCTTGCGGTGAAAAAGAATATGACTTACTTGACTTACATGTTCTGATCATGGAAGCCAAGGCTAGAACTCAAAGCAGGGCAGGTACCTGGAGGTGGGAACTGAAGAAGGGCCCAGGAAGGAAATACTGCTTACTGACTGGCTTCTTACAGCTTGCTCCAGCTGTTCTGTTATAAAACCCAGAAGACCCCATCCAGAGTCAGCTGGGCCCTCCCATATTAACCATTAATTAGCAAAATGAGACTTACTGGCAAGCAGTCCTTTAATTAAAGTTCCCATATCCCAGAAGCACATAGCTTGTGTTGAGCTGACTAAAGAAAAACAAAACAAAACCAAAAACCTAACTAGTATACAACCCAAAAAAAAAAAAAAAAAAAAAAAAAAAAAAAAAATGCAGCTAGGAACCTATTTGCAACCCAAGCCTCCCACTTCCAATACACTGCACATATACATGCTTAGAACAATGAGAATTTTCCCTCAGGAAACCCTTAGCAAAGCCCTGTTTCTATTTAAATATATCTTGGAACACACCTAGGACCTATGGTCTTATGCGGCCTGAACTAGTACAATAAAGCAAATCATGTCTTCCAAGTGAACTTTTAGGAGAACCACCTATTTACCATTTATGCCTATGGATAACTGGGCATATATATGATTAGAAAAAGATACACTGTAAGAGAAGACATGTGCAAAAATACACTGTAAGAGAGGACATGCGCAATGAGTTTACCCAGTGCAAATCTATCAAAACAGAGAACCACGATGCATGCTATGCTCCTTAGGAACCAAACTCTCCCTTTTCTTGATCTCTATAAAATGAAGTTCCTACCAGGTGGTGGTGCACTACACCTTTAATCCCAGTTCTCAGGAGGCAAAGTCAGGCAGATCTCTGTGAATTTGAGGCCAACCTGGTCTACAAGCATGAGTTCCAGGACAAGAAATCCTGTCTTGAGAAGATGGGTGGGTGAGTGGGTGGGTGGGTGGGTGGATGGATGGATGGATGGAAGCTCCTAAGAATAATCAGGCTCCTTTGGCACAATGATTCATGTAATTCACTATCACACTTTACTGTGTGTTTGTGAGTGAGGCATGTGGACTTGCTTTGAATAAAGTTACTTGACTACTTTTGCAAGTCAATGGGAGCATTTTTCTTTTCAATAATTTAAATAATAGGCCAGGAATCTGCAAACACCTATCCCCAGATATGGCCAACATTAGGAAGGGTACACTGAAGGCAAGGCCACAACTACTAGATCAATAAGAGGAACAGTTACATGAAGGCAAGTGCCTACTCATCAAAAGTTCCAAAGTGTAAAAATGCAAATCCTTGTGAAAGAAAACCCCTGAACTAAGAATGCAGCCAAGGGGCTTCACTGCTGAAGAGGCTGTTTCCCTAGAGTCACCAAGCTTTGTAAAGCAATACAGTAGGGCTAAGGATGCCGCTCAGTTGTTATAGCACTTAACAACCACTGCTGAACAGCTGAATTCCATCCCCAGCACTGCATAAAACTGAGCTTGACTGTTCAAACCTGTCATCACACTCCAGAGCTAGAGGTAGGGATATCATAAACTCAAGGTCACCTTCAGCTATGTATTTAGTTCTATATACAAGCTAGATGAATGATAACTTGCCTCTCTTTTTTAAAAGAAAAAGAAAGGAGGCAACAGGTCTCAAATGCCTAAAAAAATAAAAAAACTTGCAAAATAAGCCAAATGACTTGAGAGTTTGATTGCAAGAAGACACAAAAAGTGAAAAGAAGAAAGCCAATAGTACAGGATCGAAAGCAGCAACACAAAGTATCTCACAAACTTAATAGTAATAAAGTATTTCTCAACATAATGCACACTCAAGTTCAAAAACGTTTTCACCAGAAAAAAAAAATAAGGATGTCTTTGTCTCAGGCTGACTATCCCAAAGGTTTAGATATTACCGGCTACAGAGAACAAATACTTGAAGGCAAAGGGAAAGAGCTGAAGATTAATTTTCTCCCAAGAACTCTATTCCAATTAAATTCTGATTGACGAATTCTCATCCGGTTCTTTCTGTTTGGAGAAACCCACTAGAGTAAAACAAAATTATGGTTACAAGAACAGGCTTACAGACACACACACACACACAAAAGCAACAAGACTGCAAAAGCTTTTCAAAATCCTACTTACTGCCTTGATTTATTAATCAAGAAAAAAATTGACCTGCATTATCATTAAAAAGAGAGGAAGCGATACAATAAGAGGTAGAAAAATAGAACCAGAGGAGAAAAGCCTTCACATAGTGAGGAACATTTGCCTAACGTGCCTAAAGCCTGTGGTTCAATTTTAGTACCAAAAGGAAAAATATATACATATATACACAGTGATCACAGAGGAAAACTAAAGCAGGACAAACGGAAGCTCGAGGACAAACGGGCAACAGCGCTCACTACCGCATCAGTTTGGATTCAGCATCACCAACCTGCCAGCGCCGCAATTTCTGCAGAAGCTCGAGTTCGAGGTACGGACTCTCCCTGAGAGGAGTGGGATGAAGCCGCTTAACAGGAAAGAGACAGGACCGGAGGCTGGTCTCCTGGTCAAAGCTGCAGTGATGTCACAAACCCGCCACCCTCGAATCCAGAAGCGCACGGAACACTCACCATTCTGTGCTTGTGACGCATCCTGGTGTCCTCTCCAAGTAGCCCACAATCGGCAGAAATGACGGTCGCCAAGGCAAAACAGCCACGAATCTCCCCGAAGCTACACAGGCTCCAAAATGGCAGCAAGGGCGGAACCCTTCGGTCATCTGCGCTTCTTATTGGACAGTTAATGAAGCAGAATAACAGCGTCGTTCATTGGTGAATAAAATTCTCCCCGCCTCCGATGAACCGAACTGAAGGGCAACAGTTGGCGTGCCTGTGCAGCTAAAGAGGCAGTTATCACTTGTGATCCTTTCAGTCTGCACTTCGCTAGTACAAATTTGGCACAACCTGAAGTTTCGTGGCATCTAAGCAAATATTCTGTAGGCTTTTTAGTGCATTGTATATTCAATGGGCCCTTCCTAGTCAGCCACCTCCCATCCCACCTCCTCCCCAGCACCAAAGAAATAGTGCTGCAGCTTTGCAATAGAACTTCTAAACTTAATATCCCAAGGAAAAAAACCAAGACGTCGCGTTAGGAGAGATCTTCAATTTGGACAAATGAACAGAAAGGGAAATCTGATAAGCAAGCTCAAGACTTGGGGATGAGGTAAAGTGAAGGTTTCCTCACCTTGTGTTTCAATCTACCCATTTTCTGCCAACAAAATCAAAACATATCAACAAGGAATGCAATTATACAATATCCGGAGGAAAATGGAATTAGAGGCTGTTGAACTTCAAACAGAAAGGTTTCTTGAACCAAATGCACAAGGAAATTGAACAGAAAAAGACAAAACTACTTTGGAATTTTATCTTACCCCAGGCAGAATAGCCAAGATCAATAAAACAAATGGCAGCAAATGCTGGTGAGGATGTGGGTAAATGGGAACAACTTATTCATTGCTGGTGAGAGTGCAAACTGCTACAGCCACCATGTAAATTAGCATGGAGTTTCTTCAGGAAGCTGAGAATCAATCTATCCTAATATACAACTAGTCCATTCTTGGACATATACCCACAGGACTCTATATCTTACTACAGAAATATTTGCTTATCGCTGTTTATTGCTGGTCTATTCATTATAGTCAGAAATCGGAAATAGCTTAGATATCCATCAATTTATAGATGGATAATGAAAATGTAATATATTTACACAATTGAATACTATTAGCAAATAAATGGGTAGAGCGAAAATCATCCTGAGTGAGGAAATCCAGGCTTCAAAAGACAAATATTGAATGTTTTCACTTATATGTGGATGTAACTTTTAAACTTTACATATGTTTCAATCTAAATAACTACAGAGGCTATGTAGCTAGTAAGATGCCAGGAAGGAGGTGTGATCTTCCATGGAAGAAGAAATAGAGTGCAGGGTTATAAGCATATAAAGGAAAACTAGAATGGGGGGATTAAATACGGAGGAGAATGGGAGAGCAGCATAAAGGGGGTAATATGCAAAGACAAAACTAATACTGAAAACCTTTTGAAAAGCCATATGAAAACCAACTATTGTAGAAGCTTTCTAAAATGTATGCATACACGAGAGGAATCTAAATGGGGGAGGCAATGTCCCAGCTAGACATCTTATGCCACCAACTAACACCTCTAGTGCCAGGAATCTATCTGGAAGAGAAGGTGGAAATATTCTAAAAGCCAAAGGTGGGAGTGACTCCAAAGAAACAATGTCTTCCAAAGACTGCAGTATTAATACAGTATGAACTTACAGAGACTGTGAAAGCATTTATAGGATCTGCACAGGTTCAAACCAGGCAAAATCTCAGCACTGAGAAAGGGGTGTAAGCACAAAGTTCTACCTCTAACCAAGAAGCTACTTGAAATTGATATTTGCTGGAAAAAAAAAAAAGTCTGTCTTCAATGGGCAGTGGTGGCACATGTCTTTAATCCCAGCACTAGGGAGTCAGAGGCAGGCAGATCTCTGTGAGTTCCAGTCCTGGTCTACAAGAGCTAGTTCCAGGACAGGCTCTAGAGCCACAGAGAAACCCTGTCTTGGAAAACCAAAAAAAAAAAAAAAAAAGTGAAAATATATTTTGGCTGGGTGGTGGTGGTGCATGTCTTTAATCCCAGCCCTAGGGAGGCAGAAGCAGACAGATCTTTGTGAGTCTGATGACAGCCTAGTCTATAAGAGCTAGTTCCAGTACAGCTTCCAAAGCTACAGAGAAACCTTGTCTCAAAAAAACAAAACTAAAAAGTCTCTTTTCTCAAATGGAGTGTCATTGGGTATATCAAAAACACTCCAGGGCATGCCCCAGTCTCAAGAGTAGTTGCCCAACACAAAACAGGCTTGATATATTGGGAACATTTTTGTTTTGTTTTAGTTTTTGTCTTTTCTTTTTGCTTTGACTTTTGGGTTTTCTTGTGATTTCCATCTTGTTGATAAGAAATTAGCTCTTTATTGGGCAGAACTGCACTTCCCCCATAAAGGGGTACACCGTTGTTTTCTCCACACCACTGGGAAATGATATAAGGAACCTGCACTCATTCTGGAGTAGACCTAAACATAAAAGACTTCACTTTATCACAAATCCAGATTATTTTCATGGAAATTTGAAGCTTCCTAGGGACAGGGGAAATCATAATGGAGGTTTGTAGAAACTTCTGAAATTTTAATATTACATCTTTGGTACATTATAATTATTCCATTTGTGGGCTACAATGTGATGTTCTGACACATGTAGATTTTGGATAATACTGTGATGAGATAAGCATAGGTATCTCCTCCAACATATATCTGTGAAGTGGTAATTCTTAAGTTGAGAAGAAGAAAAGGCAGACAAGGGAACAAGAAGCTCTATGGTAGTATAGGACTTTATTCAGGTGAAAAACATAGAGGGGTCTCTGGTGTAAGAATTGAAGCCTGCCATCTGCTTACAGGACATGAAGGAGGAATGGGGTTGAAGCTTTCTTGTCTTGAACCACAGTGACAGATAAATATCATCTGTGGCTGGCCTTTCATGGGGATTAATAAGAGCAGGGAAGGCTAGAGAAACAAGCTTACTTTGGTTCTAGAAAACAAATTACTGCAATTTTTGGAATCATTACCATTCAACCAAACTGGAGGGATTTTACAAAGTGAAATGGCCTTAAAAAATCTATTTCATGATTTTTAAGAAAGATTTTAAGCTGAGTATGGTGGAAGTCAGAGGAAAACTTGCAAGTCTATTCTAACTTCATACCATGTGGGCTCCTGGGATTCAACTCAGGTCACCAGGCTTGGCAACATATTGCTTTACCTAAGCCATCTCACAGGCCCCTCTATGGAGTTCTTCACCAGTCTCTGAACCAACATCATAGGTCCTTTAAATCAGGTCTCATCATTACCAACAATAGGGTCATCTTCACTATTTTCTATCTCATTAAGTACAAATAGAAGCTGAATCAAGTGTGAGCACTACTTCCTTTTCTTGGTCTTGTAGTAAAATAATTGTCTATTAATTTGAGGTCTCTTTACTGTTTGAGTGGAATGTTCTGTAACATGTCTGTTAGATCTGTTTTCGTGGTGGTAGTGGTGGTATGTGTGTGCGTGTGTGTGAGTGATGTCATTTAACTCCAGAATTTCTGTGTTTAGTTTTTGTCTGGGTGACTTGTCTATTAGTGACAGAAGGGTATTAAAATCACCCACTACTGCTGTGTTAGAGTCAGTGTGTGATCTGAGACTTAATGTTGTTTCTTTAAGGAACTTGGCAACTGGGTGCCTCTGTGTTTGTTGTGTAAATGTTTAGAATTATATAATCTTAGTGGATGGATTTTTCCTTTAATGTATATGAAGTCTCATTCCCCATCTCTTCTGACTAACTTTAATTTGAAGTCCTTTTTCCAGATATTAGAATAGCGAGGCCTGCTTTGTTCTTATTTCCATTTGCTTAGATTACTTTTCACCTTACTTTTATTGTAAGGCAATGTCTGTCCATGATGCTGAAGTATATTTTTTGGAGTCAGTAAAAATATGTGTTGATATTTTCTGTACTTAAGAATGGACCACAAGATATCCAACAGTAATGCCCATGCTACAATCTGTTCCATGAATCAGGAGAAGGGTTAGCGGTTGAAATAAGAGGCAAGACAGTGGGTCATTCGTTCAACAGCAATGTCAGAATGCTGAATGCCAAATGCTGTTTATTGAGGGGAAGGAGTGGGCTTATATACTGACTCACAGCACAGTGGAAAACAACAGGGTTTTCAGGCTTAGCTCCTGTCCAGCAGATGTGTGTTAGCAAAACAGGAAGAGTACCAATAACAACTCTGGGGCAAGATTTTCCAGCCAACAGCTTCAGGCTTGCTCTAGGTGCCTCGGGGATCCATGCAGGGCCCTACATCCAACAAAGCTCACTTTAAGAGTTTTACTAAAGAGTGGGGAAAGGGAAGAGGGGGCATGTGCAGGCCTGTCTAGAGGGGGTGTGTCTATTTTTAAGGTCACTCAGCACATGCATATGGAGCTTACATAACCATGCCACACATGAACATAGATTACAAGGCCATGCTGTGACTGCACATAGATTATATAAGGCCCTGGATGACTAAGCATTTTGCTGAATGATGATGGCCATGTGTGCAGCCATGAGACCCCAAACATGCTGGAAATTATAACATGTATTATTACTTACTATAAATCATATATTGAAAATGATTACTTAGAAGTGTTTATTAATTAAATTTATTTTATTGTTGTGGTGTTGTTTTCTAGACCTCTTTTGGTTAACTGTTCTAGGATTATTCCTTTTGGAACAATGATCCTAATTAGTCTTGATAATAAAAACCCAGAGTCAGATATTGGGGTAAAAGCTGAAAGATCAGAGAAGTAAAGGACCAGATACAGTTACTTTTTACCTCTCCAAATGGAAAAGGGCTGAAATCTGTCTCCACTCCACCTTATCATTTCCTCTCTCCACCCATTCTTGTCACTTTTTGTCTATCTGTACATACCTCCAGAACTCTATAGTTAACTAGTGACTAGCTCCACCCTCTGATCTTCAGGAAAGCTTTATTTGTCAGAACACCAACAAAATATCACAATGCTTTTTGTTCCTTTCAGTATGTTCAATCTTCATGTATAATAGCTATAATTCTCTTCTAGGAATCTTCTGTCGAGATGGTTTAGTAGACATTAATCCTCCGAATCTGTTATTTTTATATGTCTTTTGTCTGCATGTATGT